GGCGGTCTGCTTTCTTTATGGTCCAGCTCTCACTTCCATACATCACGACAGGAAAAACCATAGCTTTGACTATTCGGACTTTTGTTGGCAAGGTGATGTCTCTGCTTTTTAAGATGGTGTCAAGGTTTGTCATCGCTTTCCTCCCCAGAAGCAGGCGTCTTTTAATTTCAACTTGTTAACTGGTGGCAATTCACTGCTGTGATCTATGCCATTGCATTTACAGCAGTGAGGTTTTGGCTTGTGTGATAGTTAGACAATACTGTAGTATGTTTTCATTTCCTAAATAAAGACAAAGGTTCATCTTCATAGACTGTATATAGAATGAAAAGGTAGTTGGTTTCCAGTCAAGTATTCATGGCACTGTGCTTCAATGATAATACATTGTTGGGCAGGTACCTCACCTTCAATGCAATCTTAGTCAAGTTCATTGCAAAGTAAGTCGAACTGTATTCAGTGCTGCCTGTTCTGCAAGTAACTCTGCTTAGGCTTAGATCTTTAGTGGAACTATCCATCTGAAATATCTGTTTCTGGTGCTTAGCTAGGAAAGAGGCCTGATTGGAACCTCATATGTCACTTGTCAACATCGTACCAAGACATACAGTTGGATCATTCTCACTAAAAGTGGACTTCTGCCTGTGATTTGTTTCTCTGAAGTCCAAAACTGATACCCTGTTTCCCCGAAGATAGGCTAAAAGATATGACGCTGGAAGATGGGCCCCTCAGGTCGGAAGGCGTCCAACATGCTACTGAGGAAGAGTGGAGGACAAGTACAAGTAGCTCCAGAGCTAATGAAGTGGTTGGGCCAAAGCCGAAAGGACGCTCAGCTGTGGACGTGCCTGGAAGTGAAAGGAAAATCCAATGCTGCAAAGAAGAATACTGCATAGGAACCTGGAATGTAAGATCTATGAACATTGGGAAGCTGGAGGTGGTCAAACAGGAGATGGCAAGAATAAACATCGACATCCTGGGCATCAGTGAACTAAAATGGACAGGAATGGGCGAATTCAGCTCAGATGATTATCATATCTACTATTGTGGGCAAGAATCCCGTAGAAGGAATGGAGTGGCCCTCATAGTCAACAAAAGAGTGGGAAAAGCTGTAATGGGATATAATCTCAAAAATGATAGAATGATGTCAATACGAATCCAAGGCAGACCATTCAACATCACAATAATCCAAGTTTATGCACCAACCAGCATTGCTGAGGAGACTGAAATTGAACAATTTTATGAAGATTTACAACACCTTCTAGTACTGACACCAAAGAAAGATGTTCTTCTCATTCTAGGGGACTGGAATGCTAAAGTAGGGAGCCAAGAGATAAAAGGAACAACAGGGAAGTTTGGCCTTGGAGTTCAGAACGAAGCAGGGCAAAGGCTAATAGAGTTTTGTCAAGAGAACAAGCTGGTCATCACAAACACTCTTTTCCAACAACACAAGAGGTGACTCTACACTCGCCACCTCCCGAGGTAACTGGTTCCATTGTCGTACTGCTCTAACAGTTAGGAGGTTTTTCCTGATCTTCAGCATAAATCTGGCTTCCTGTAACCTGAGCCCATTGTTGTGTCTCCTGCACTCTGGGATGATTGAGAACAGATCCTGCTCCTCCTCTGTAGGACAGCCTTTCAAGTCTTTGAAAAGTGCAATCTGATCTCCCCTATGGGGTGTCATACAATATAATATTTTTTCTCACCTGAGCGCAAGTGAAGACAAACCAAGTGTCAAGACCATTCACAGGATTGTATTCACCAATACTATGTCGAGATGCAAAACCTGGATAAGGAAGAAAACCAACCGGGGTTGTGGGGGGAGGGATATATTTGAAGTGTGGTGCTGGGGGAGTGCTTTGTTGGACTGCTAAAAAGACCCAATGAGTAAATGCATGGATGGTTCTGGCTTTGTTTATTCCAGGACCCACTTGATTGTCTTTCTGCAGCCCAGGGTATCCAGAAAGCTCTGGATGTACCTGGAGTACATCATGAGCAATCAAAACCTGCTTGAAAAGAGGAGGTCGCTTGAAAAAAGTGGAAGGCATCAGGAAAAGAGGAAGATGGAATATGAGATGGACAGGCTCTCTAAAGGAGGCCATGGGCTTTGCACTTACTTAGTACTTTGCAAGTAGAGGTACTTGGGCTTTGTGATTCCTTAGAAGTCACAACAGCTCAGTGAGGTAGGACTCTTAAATGATAGCTGGTTTGTGACCCTCCTCCATTCCTGGATTTAGCCAGACCTTGCTGTTCAAGAGACCAGTCCTCAATAAGGATTTTTATATTTAATTTTTATTAGAAAAATAGAGTTCCATAGAAAATCAGTTTATTTTGTATAAGCATTAGCATTCAAGAACATATTCAAAGATCATTGCAGTTAAATAAGATACGTAACTATTTCCCTTTAAAAATAATAATCTACTAACAGCTAACCTAGGGTAAGCTATAGTGGGCTATGGTGGGCTAGTCCCCCCTCCTTCTTTCTCCTTTACTTACATCCTCTCTCCTTCAAGCTACATGCTCATACCATCATCATGGAATGAAATCCATCATCAGTCTCAATCAATCACCAGTAAGATACAACCATCATTTCACATAACCCATCTTCCATTTTCTACCTTGCTAACTCCTCCCTTCTTCTGTTCACATAACCCATCTTCCATTTTTCTACCTTGCTAACTCCACCCTTCTTCTTGGCCTTTCTGGCTGTTCACCAATTAAGCTTGTTGTGCCACCTCTCTCCATCCCTAATTCCCATGAGAGTCCAGGTGTTGTTTTTATGTCCTCCGTACAAGCTTGGAATGTTGAGTCTCCCGGGCCTCTCGATTTGGCCTTCAAGATACCTGGATGCTCGGCTGTAACAGTCTCCAAGAAAACACTTTCACGGTGCTTAGAAAAACACATTCCGAAGTCTCTTGAATCATCTTCACACAGAACCTACCTGACTCCATTTGACATTTCTCTGACTACATATCCCATCATCATGACACGCTTCTGACCACCTATCCCATGATCATGACAGAGAGTACACAGAGGTGGTTTAGCGTTCCCTTCTTCTGGGACTGTGCAGCTGGCCCAAGGCCACCCAGGCTGGCTCTTTCTTCCGTGAGGCACAGTGAGGAATCGGACCCCCGATATTTCCCATTTCCTTTCTCCTTGTCTGTGCTACACCTTGATCTCCCCCGCCCCTTTTTAATACGGGATCAAAACACATGTTACACTGAGCTAGTCGTGAGAAGCAGAGTTCTTGCAAGATCATGTCTTTAGGGAACAAAGGTCTTAGCCCCATCTAATGCTAAAGCTAGCCTGCCTTTTCACAATGTGCCCAAAGAACAACCGCCTCCGCATCAACTCTTTTGCCTCCACAGATGGTTCAGGCTTGGTTTGTTCCAGGACCCACTTATGATTGTCTTTCTGGCAGCCCAGGGTATCCGAAAAGCTCTTGGATGTACCTGGAATACATCATGAGCAATCAAGACTTGCTTGAAAAGAGGAGGAAGCACGAAAAAGTGGAAGGCAGCAGGAAAAGAGGAAGACGGAATATGAGATGGACAGATTCGCTAAAGGAAGCCATGGGCTTGAGTCTGCAAGAGGGCAGGACATTTGGGAGGTTGCTGTTCCAGTAGGCTTATGATGGGCTGGAGGTGGCGTGATGGCCCATAACAACAGCAGTTTGGGCTCAAGCCCCTGCCCCACCTGGGTCTGCTCTTGCCAACATCTGCTTTTTGCACCATGAGATCTAGGGCCTTCTGCTCTTGATTCAAGCGACTGGCTGCTGCTTCATCTCTGAGGCATACGCTGAGGGGAAGCTACAGCCTGACATTTCTATTCATTCCCAAAGGAGAGAGAGTCGGCATTCGTCAAGGATATTCAATCAGAGGCTGAGCCTTTTAAGACAGACACTGGTGCGTGAGGGGCCAGTGCCTGTCAGATCCCATCACAGCTGGGAAGTTAATTAACAGATTAATTAAGGATGAATGATTGAAAGATGCCAGGTGATCCCAGACTACCCCTCGAAAAGCAGTTAAGTTTCCCCGACCAGTGCTCAGAAATATAAATGTTTTGGATTAAGAATCCACCCCCCTCACCGCCAGAAATGTTACTTTTTTAAGATTTAAAATCCCTGCTGGCTGGGGAATTCATGAAAAATAGTCTGTCCCTGTTCTGTCTCAGGTCTATGTGGCAGTGAGTCTCTCTGGCCTTAACGCCTATAAGTGAGAGAAAGATCCAGGCCAGAGGCACATCGGGTGGGGAAGACCTAAGCGACAGGGAGATCTCGTGATTTTTCTCCCCATCCCGGGTGGGAAAGCACGTGGCTGGCAGAGCAATTCTGATCGTAGGGAAATTCTTAGGGAGGCCCTCCTTCCTTCAGGCTGATCACATGCTGTATCGCCATCCTGTTGAAGTACATCCATTCACACAGCACTAGGAGAGCGGGGCTGGTCGTGTTTCTCTTCCCTTCTCTCTTCTAGATCGACATGCAGATGGGTACTCCTAGATTCTTTGATGTCACCTCCTCCTTCTTTCCATCAGTAGGAGAAATGTGCGTGCACGCACAGCTGCCAGCTCCTCTCTCTGTTTTTTTTGGGAGGGGGGTCTTTTTCTTTCTTCACTATGCCCAAATTGACTTCTCAACTTAATACAGAATACGTTTCCTTTTTTTTTTCTTTTTTCTTTTTGCTTTCCTTCCTCCCTCCAAAGTAGTGATCAATCCAGGAGCCGCATGATCCGCATTAACCTGCTGCATATTATTACCCAAGTGGCAAATATCAAATAACCCTCCCGGAGCCTGACCAGGATGAGTTAAGATGGAGGCGAAGAGGAGGACAGAACTTCAGCAGAGCCACTGCTGGGAAGGGCACCCAGAACCCCGGGCGAACTTCCCCCCTCTATCCACCTCTGAGCAGGTGCGGAGCCTCTCCAGCTGGGCTCGGTCGGCCCCTGCTTGCTCCCTGGAAGTGGGGGGAAAGGCACACCTTTCTTTTCTTGCTGCACGGCTGGCCGGCTGGCTGGCTGGCTCTGAAAGGATGCTGCGGTCTCTCTGCTTTAACTTTAACCTTGGCTTTAATCAGCTTTAACCTTGGCTTTAATCAGCACTGTTCACCTGCTCCGGAGGAGGATGCTGGCGATGCACATTCCGCCGCTCCCAAAAACACACCAACCCTCTCTCGCTTATTAGCAAGAGGGGGGGGGCAGTTACAGGCCCCACCGGCAAGGTGCCAGGGCCTGCACGTTCCTCCTCTCTCGGCAGGGTGGCAGACCTCCTCTCTGCCTCCCCCCTTCTCCTTCTCAACTCAGCAGAAACCGACAAAGTGGCTGGGGCTGCTTTTCCGGCTGGTGGGGAACGGGATGAATTGGAAAATCTGCTCCATCCATCTGGCAAGGGAATTGCTCTGTCGGCACTTGGCAGCCGCAGCAGAGATCCTTGCCCTCTGCCCGACCCCTTGGAGAGGAGAGGACCTCGGCTCTGGGCAGACGGTTTTTCAGCAAAGTGTCCCCTTGGGCTGAAAGAACAGCCCTCGGCTTTGGAACGAGGCTGGCCTGCTTAGAGCCCTGGTTCCTGTACTGCAAGCGGGTGGCCGAGCCTGGCTGGCACCTTGTACCCAAGGGCACAGAAAGGGCAGACGGCACAGCCAGCATCCGTACATCAGACTGCAGGCACTTCCGCTCAAAATCAATGCAGAAAAGCACACCCTAACACAATTCCATGTACAGTAGGACCCCTGGATCTGTGGGGTATCGGTTCCAAGCCCCACCCCCACCCCACAGATGTTGAAAAATGCAGATGAGAGTGAATGGAATTTTAATAGTGAAAGTTGTACATATCATGGTTTCTGGCTCTCTCCAGTGGCCAGTTCTTGTAACTTCATATTTACAAATATGTATTTTTTTACAATTTTTCATTTAATATTTTCAAATGGTGGATAAGTGAATCCATGGATACTGATCCCATAAATACGTGGGTCCTAATGGACCTAGAAAGCTAGCATCTCTGGATGGCCATTAGGATAGATTCTGGCCTTAGACTGACATGCAAGGAATTCCCCTCTCTCCTTTCAAGGATGCAAGCTCTTGAATCATACCAGTCACCACCACCGCCACCCGGTACGAAGTTGACATTTGAATTGTCTTGACCGTGTACCTGAAAGGAATGTTTCCTTCCTGCTCTGGCTCCCCAAAGCTCATGTTGTCTTTCCTCAGCTTCCGGAGAGGGTTTCGGGGGGTGGGGTGGGGAGAGAATTCCTTCTGTGGGTTCCTATCTGAGATGTTACGGTGGGAGCCAAGGAGTTATCATTTCGTGGAGTTCTCTTTCCATGGGGCAGCTCACCCTCTTTGGCCTGGAACCCCCCATCCCTGCAGACTTTCTGTGGAAGCAAAGCCTGGAACAGTGACTTTTCTAAACACCATCTCCTAGGAAGCCTGTGTAGGCTGGAAACGCACATGGATGGGACAGAGGCGCTAAAAATAACTAGGAGGCAAAGGCAACGCTGATGTCCTTTTTCATCACAAACATTTTTACTCCATTGCATCAGCTAAAATACTAGTTCAATATTGACCGTTTTAACCAGAAGGGCTGAGAGTCATCCTTCAGCCTCCCAGCAGTCCCGACAGGTAAGTCAAGCCACGAGACAGGGGGTGGCCCCTGTGCTCCTTACAGGTGTAAATCCGGGGGTATCACTGCACCCCTCGTGGTCCTGAGGGCCCGGCACCCTTCTTGCATCGCGGCCTCCTTGTAGGCAGGAGGGGGTCCGCTCCCCACCACCACCGCAAAGCCGGCGTCGGAAGAGCCCCGCTCTGGAATCTGGAAGTGAGGATGGATTTTGGCTGCTTCTCCCTCTGGAAAGACAAAGAGTAGGTTTCCGTGGCAACCCAAGCAACCTGCGAAATGGAGGAAATGGCTCTATTGCTATTAGCAGAGGGACTGGTGGTCCATCTGTTTGAAAGCGGTGAACATGTGCTTTGTGGGTGGTTTTTGAACAGCCCCCCCCCCCGGTCTGGGATGCTTCGGCTGCAGACGTCCTGCTTGGATGGGGAGGTTCAGCTGGAGGTTCCCTGGGATCTCAACGCTCTGCAGGGCCGTCCTGGTCTGACCCAGCTGGGTGCTGCCAACCTGCTAGGCAGTGGCTCTCTGGCACCCCAGGGGAATTTCCCCCTCGGTTGCCACCAGGTCCCTTTTCCTGGGGAGAAGTGGCCTACAATGGTTCAGGACTAGATTGAGGCTTGTTTTCCCCGGCCCCATGCCTCTGCCTTCAGGGGAAGCAGACGTGCATGTGTGTGCATGTGCGTGCACATGTGTATTTGTGGGTGTCACCGGCCGGGCGGAGGGGTGCTGTGGCCTGCAGGCTTAAACTAAATCCCAACTAAACATTGGGATCGCGCTTGGTGCATCTCGTCCCCTTGACATCTTTCATGGTTATGCCAAAGGCCCATGAAGAATAATTGGGCTTAAGCAGTAACTCCGCCACCAATCGTCACGTGGGGCGTTGGGAGGGGGCAAGAGGACAGGGCCCCACATCGGATGTTGGGTGTGTATGTTCCTTTCTCCCCAGTTCAGAGGACTTCTCAAGAGCAACCCTGTTCAACAGCGGAAAAGAGGAGACCACTCAGATCAACACCTGATCTCAGATCACCCCCCACCCCCCAAAAAAGTGTGCCACGTCTCCTTGAAAGTTGCTTCCCTGGATGACCATCACCAGACAACGGCAGAAGGGAAGTGTTGATTACACTTTAAAAACTGCCCAGTGCATTTTGGCCCAAACATCGGGGGCTTTATTCAGAGGCCATTACAGTATTTAGCTAAAGGCAAGATTCTCCGGAAAAGACCATCATGCTGGGAAAGAGGGACAGCAGCAGGGAAGGAGGAAGACCAAAGACTCGGTGAATGAACTCCCTAAAGGAAGCCTCTGGACTGATATCTGCAGGAGCTGTGGAAGGCAGTGGAAGACAGGACATTTGGGAGGCTGATCCACCAAATGGGTCGCCAAATGTCGGAGGCCACTTGAAGGCACAGAACGACACGAACAGTTTAGCCACTTCCTTTCAACCAGGGCAGCTGGCAATCAGGCTGAAAGAGATCACAATTACCGATTGCTAAATCATTGCCCTTGAGGAAGGCCACAGACTGATTGGGCCAAAACACGCCACACAGTTTTTGAAGCACAACGTGTCTGTTTTTTCCATCAAACTTACAAGCCCTGCTGCTGAGAAGCAGAGTGGGAGCAGCAGGCATAACGCTAGGTTTGGGTGTGGAAGCCCCGGGTTCAAATCCTTGTTCTAGTGCTATCAAGCAATGTGCAACGCTTGCGTCAATCAGCTCCTAGGGCAGAGCCTCTCCAGCCAAATTGTTTGCCAGGAACCCTATCTTGCTTCTTCTTTGTGATGTTCCTTTTCTGGGGACTCTCTCACCGCCATCTCCTGCGCGCACAGTAATTATTTGTGACGGCACCCGGGATTTTCCATCAGGGCTCCTGATTGAGCTGAGCTAAAACGCAGCTGCGCTCTGTACCATGGAGTGGGGAGCTTACCGTAGGCGGGATGTGTGTCGCTGAGAGCAAACACGGCTAGCGTGCGTGATGGTGAGGAGGAGGAGAGCCTTCGTCTTTTCAGCCAGCAGTGAAGGCAACAGGCGACGGTGCATAACAGCAGCATGGCCAGGGCGAGGGAGACGCACAACCTGGAGGAGGGAAGAAGGGCCCTTAGGACGGAGCGACCTCTCGGCCAACGTGGGCTCTCCAGGAAGAGAGAGGGCTGGAGAGAAAGCGTGGGGGGTCCTGTCTAGACTGGAGAACTCGAACTGGGGAACGGGAGAGCAAGCAAAAGGCCTGGCCGAAAGAAGCAGGTAGAACTTGGGCAACATTCTTTCATGAAGGCCAATTAAAATGCTCCAGAGGAGGACTAATCCCAAAGCAGGCTGTGATCCATGAAAGCTGCGGCCGTGATAAAGGGGTGACTTGGGCCACAGGGTTCATTTTTAGCGCAACCGAGGGCTGCTACCTCGGCATGGGCTCCATAAGTCTTCTTCAGCTGAGGGTTCAAGAAAATGAATCAACGGCAACAAAAAAGGGTGTGTGAGGGTGGTGGTGGAAGTGGGGAGAAGAGAGACTTCAGATCTAAAGGCAACTCCCCCCAAAGGGCGGCTAAAATGACACACGAGGGGACAGGGGTCTTTTCTGCTGGTCCTGCATTTTCTGTCCAGGAACACAGCTTCCCATGTTCACGTCCTGATCCTAAACCATAAAACGACAGCAAGCAAACTTATTTGTAAGGTAGTAAGGGGGGCAAGTGGAGCGAAACAGGGCGTCTTCTCCTTCTTGGCTTCTAAAGAGGTGCTAATCCCTCTAGTTCGATGAAATGTGGGAGAATGATGCTCCTGCTTGGTGTGAAACAGATTTTGGGTGGCACCAAGGCTGGTGGGAGAGAAAAGGAACAGCCACACTTTCTTTGAGGATGGGAATGCTATTTAAAGCAGGTGACTTTAAAAAAAAATCAGTGGATGGATGGAGGGAGGGAGGAAGGGAGGGATGGATAGATAGAGAGATAAGAAGGAGCTGATGGATGAATGGATGGATAGGAAGGAAGGAAGGAAGGAAGGAAGGAAGGAAGGAAGGAAGGAAGGAAGGAAGGAAGGACGGACTGACTGACTGACTGACTGACTGACTGACTGATTCACATTTCCCCCCCACCCAACTAGTAGCAAAACAACAATTGTTTTCAATGCCCTTGTTGGTAAATAAGCCTAATTAACGTCACACAGAGGTGATCTCTCTTCCCCATTTGGTACTCACCACAAATACCAAGCACTGATGCTCTGCACCTCAGGACCGATGCAGCTGAAATTGAAAATCAAACATTCAAATCAAGTAATCAGAGTAATATCCGCTGTAACCATATATTAAGAAGTTGAAAATGAAGGGGGGGGGGAAGGGAAAGCATTTTTGAACAGTGTAATTATAATACTGTACAGTTTAGCATCATTACTTATTTCTCTGGTTTTGCTTGTTGTAATCATTGTATCCAATTTTTTGGCATCCCAGGATTTTTTAGGTATCAAATGTTCTCTTACCCATTTTCTTTTCTGTACTTCCTATTCTTTTTGAGAAAAAAAAGATTTCTTTTTTTTTAAAAAAAATTCAATTTGTACTATTCTTAAGCATAGCAATTCACTTCATAAACTTCCTAAAGTATCTCAAAAGTTCAGAGTTCATAAATCTGCACGGTGGGGGAAGGCAATGGACTAAAACTGCCGTTCCCATTCTGTGTTGTGTAACTCAGTTCAGACTATTTAAAAAGTTCCCAGTTTTGCACCAACGCATATAGATTAGCCAATGTACTTTTATGCACGTCAGTCCTCTTGGGTCATTTAATTGGGGAGGCGAGGCCTCCGTGGCCTTTCTAGACTTCCTCCCCAGGAACCCTGAAGAGCTGCTGTTCCTTGGTCAATAAAATCTTGAGCTAGGTGGGTCCAAATCAGCAGAATGCCCTTGTCTGGGTTTTTAATGCACAGATGGTACTAGGGACCCACTTCCGCCACCACCCATGGTCCTAGCAAACCCTATGGCATTTCCAGAGCTTGGAAATGTTGCTTTTCTATAACCTGGGGGATTCTGGGAATTGTAGCTTTTTTTAAAAAAAGAAACATTACTAAAGTAATATTTGGGTTTTGCATTCACATATGCCCTTGCACGCACACATGCGTGTGCGGACACATGCATGGACACATGCACTCCACAGAAAGCCTGCCCAAACTGCAAAGTCATATAGAATCATAGAAAAGTGAAGTTGGAAGGGGCCTACAAGGTCATCAAGTCCAACCTCCTGCTCAAGGCAGGGAGACAAATCAAAGGATATCTGCCAGGAGATTATCCATGTTTTTCTTGAATTCTTCCAGCGTTGGTGCGCTCACCATCTCTCAAGGTCATGGGTTCCACTGTCGTAACTCCTCTAACAGTTAAGAAGTTTTTTTCTGATATTCAGCCAAAGTCTGGCTTCCTTGAACTTGAGTTATAGCAAAGGTGGAGAAAGGTCTCACCTCTCGGCCGATTCGCACTTGAACACTGGTCTTGCCGGCTGAAAGGCAGACAAAGGGGGAAGAATCAAGAGGAGACAGAGAAGCCGGCCTCTCCAGATGCGGATGGCTCCGTTCCACAGGGAGTGGTGGTGGAGACCCCATCCATAGGGTGAGGCAACCCTCCTGCTGTCCAAAGTCACAGGAGAGGGAAGGGTCCCCCAGTTCGCACACTTGACCAGCGAATAGAGATGGCACCACATTGCGGATTTTGGAACAGCTTGTCCGAGGAAGAGTTCTGGTGAGCTGAAAAGTCTGCATAGAGTTCCCACTTTCCCTCTTTTCAATTAGCACCATAAAGGTCTTAGCAGTGGTTTAGTAAGTGGGCAGCCAGCAGGCACAGCCTCACAGGTTTGTGGCAGAGAACCTAGGAGTTTGAAGGGGGTGGTTTGTTCTGCTCCCTTTTTCTACTCTACTTCATTCTAGAAGGTAGGTTGAGACAGCCTTCAAAGCTGGCTCCATAAACAGCGCTTTGCGACAGCCCGGTCAAGAGGCTTTACCAGCTTGAGCAAGTTTGCCAGGTGCAGCTCTCCTTTTAACCCTGTGATTCACCCACCCAGCCCAGCCTCCACCCTCTGCACTCAGATCACCAGATTAGACTATGGATCACTAGGTTAGACTACGGTTGTGCGCTCTCTGTGGAGCCACCTTTGAACACTTTTTCAGGAATGCTGCCATGGCTGTGGAACAACTTCCACAGCTAAGGACTTGATCACACATGAGAAAAGAATCCAAGTTATACCGATTCTTTTCATACCTCTATTCTACCAATCCATTTTTTCCACAGTGGTCATGTGGCATATAGATATTCACATTGCTTTTAACTGCATCAATTCATTGCTTTCTATTTGAACCGTTTTAGCAAGCTGCATTGCTCTTTAATTTTGTTTCGATTCATTTTCTCTACTGTTTCTCGCGTCCATCAGCCCAGTCCTTGCCCTTTGTTTTTTTAAAATATCCAAGGTGATCTATTTATGAAGCTGTGCCTTCTCTCCCCCTCCCCTTTTCCCTTCCCTTCTTTACACACTTTCAATGCATATCTCTCCCTCTTAGTTCTTTTCCCTTCTGAACAGGAGGAGGAAGTGGGTCTTGAAAGACTTGCAAAGTATTGTGAAGAGTAGGGTTTAAAAAAACAAAACACCCCTTTCTTTACAATTCAAAGCAGAAAATCTGAAGCCCTCTTTTACCTGCAAGGAATGTGCAGAAGGCTGTCTTCTTTTGAGCAATGTATTCATGGAAGCTTTTTGTGATGGTGGCAATGACGGCAGTGGCTGCTATTAATTAATTCTACTCGGGGCGGCTTACAACATAAATCAATATAAAATATATATAATCATAAAAATATAATTGCTATATTAATTAAGACAATTAATTTAAGAAAGGATTACCAAGATGGGG